GCCCCGGCAGGGCACCGGCACCGCGGCGGCGGCACGGCTTCTCCCGGCAGATGGCCCCGCGCCCCCGTCCCGCATCTCCCAGATCCGCAGCCCCCGGTCCCGCAGCCCCGGTGCTGATCGCTGCTATTGGCCGCTGGTTGTTGTGACAGCAACGGGCTCGGTGACAGCGCGACGGGCGCGCATCACCCCGGGACCGGCGCGGGCCCACGTGCCCTGCTGGCACACGGCCGGGGGTCTCCGTGCACACACGGCAGACGTGTCTCCCCGCTTCCCGAGGAAGGGCCGGTTCTCCAGGATGCCCCTGAGCCCCCGGGGCTGGCAGGGGCAGGGCACAGCTCCGTAGGGCACGTGGGGTGGGCACAGCGGGGCAGGGAGCTGTGGAAGCAGGACCGTGGAGCCAGGAGGGCAGCCAAGTGGGCAGCGGGAGGCTGTGCAGGCAGGTGAGCAGTGGGCAGGGGGCCCGATGGGCACAAGGCCCATGGGGACTGACCTGCTCTGGCACAGCAGGACACCCGTGCCAAGACACGTTGGGTCGTGCCGTGCCAGGCCATCCAGCTGCTCCCAGCTGTGCCACTCCCTCCACTGCTTCTCCCCGCTCCTTTAATCAGTAAGGCAGTGGCGGTAGCAGCCGTGTCCTTGTGTTTTGTGTCATCCTTATCTCAGCCCCGATAACCATCTCTGTGTTCCTGAAGGTCCCACCTCCACCGGGTCTTTCCGGTAACAAAATGGGAGGGGGGAAACAGGGAGAAATGTCACCTTTAGGACCATCAGCTGCCAGGCCACTCTCCGGGACGCCTGGAATTTCCTCGCAAACAGGTTGTGTGTGTCAGCACCCCGTTCCCTACAGACTGGATCCGTTTCCCTCCACGCTGCCGTCGCCGTGTGTCTCTGGAGCTCACAGGGTTTTTTTCCAAGCCTCTTTTCCAAGCTGGCACTAACCAGGCGGGTCTAAAGGGAAGCTCTCCCCGCCCCAGCTGCTCCTGCCGCTGTCAGCCGGCGGCGGAGAAGGAGAAAGAAAGGCAGAAGGAAAAGAAAGCCCTGGCGTGAGGTGCCTTTGTTCAGGGCAAGTTATGCGTGAAATCTTTTTGTCCTTCCTAAAGGAAGGCAAAAGTTGCAGTTGATTTGGGGAAAGAGAGGCGAGTGTGGCCCTCGGGGGGGGTGGAGGGCGGGCAGGCTGGAGGGGGGGGGTGGGCAGACCCCGACGGGAATCTGGTGCCGCAGATGTGCTGGTGTCTGTGTCCTCCCTTTTCCTCTGTTTTCCTGGGGAAGTTCAGCAACACCTTTGGCAACTCCTTTGGTGAAGTTTTCCAGTAAAACCTGTCAGTGGCTGTGAGCAGGTCGGGAAAGCACGACAAGGAAGAAGCGAACACGGCGGAGTTTTACGGACTCCCAATGCACAAGAAACCATTTTATTTAAAAACAATGCATTCAATATCGGGTTATGGCACATGAGTCAACGCTGCAGGCACATCACACTGCAGGGGCACACCGGGAGCTCACTGTCACGACAGGGGCCAGGGCAGGCCGGGCTGTGCAGCCCTGCCCCGGCCTCGGGGCTGGGGACACCCCCGGCCAGGTCCCAGTGTCCCCAGTCCCGCTCTCGAGGCTCTCCAGGGGTGTGAGGCTGGACACCAGTGTCCTTGCCACCGCTCACCTGAGACACGCCCTGGCCCCTTGTGAACATCAGCCATTTCAAAATAAACAATGCTTTTAGTATGGCCATTAATTATGGAACTTCTATTACAATCATGGCATTTTTTTTTTTTCTTTTTTTTTTTTCTTTTTTTCTTAAATATTTCTATTTTTTTATCGAAAACAACTCCCTCGGGCATTATGGAACCGTAGAGCCATTGGAATAAAGACACATTCACTCACAGAAAACCTGCTTTTTCCTGTTTTCACAGCCCCCGTTCACAGTCAGTTCTGTGTCACAAACACTTGGTTTTTTGGTTTCCTCCACGAGCAAACCCGGCAGCCCAAACGCCTGTTTTCGTGAGCCTCCTCTGAGGAGATGCAGGCGACGAAAATCCGCCCCCAAGAGGTGTGAAAGGAGAAAGGGAACACGCATTTCCAAGCCTATGTACACCCCCAGCACCCCCGGAGGGGGGTCCTTGGCCCCCCTCCCTTTGGCAGAGGGGCTGGAGCAGGACGTGGCTGCCACTGGGCAGGCTCTGTGTCCTGATGGAAGGAGCTGGACAGGAGGATTCCTCTGGATTTTGGAACCTGAAATGTTCTGTACTTACAGATATTGATCCTGCTGCATCAGCTCTCTTGGCTCGCCCGGACATTCGCTCGGGAGAGGGAGGGTTCTCCCTGAGCCGTCAGGAATTCGTGCAGGAACATTTGGGGCCAAACAGAGGGAAGGGAGAGCCCTCCTGAGCAGGGAGGCACCTTCTGAACAACAATTAAATAAGTAATAAGGGACTGGTTTACCAATGGAAAGGCATTTCTGCTGCAGGGAGGCAGCCCCTCTGCCACTCTCCTCTCCATCCCCTTCCGTCCTCAGCCCTCCCTCAGATCCCACCAGATCCCCCGCCAAAAACTGCACGTTTGGAGGTGGTTTTCCAACACCACACAAAAAAAAAATATTGATACTGAGAAGCAATTTCCTTTGGGCTGAGCTGCGCCATCGACCGCGGGGCGGGAGCCCCATCAAATCAATGATTCTGGAATGTTCGACGTGGGGCTGCGCCGTCGATGGGGAGTTTGGCCTGAAAATCAATGCTGGAATATGGAGCTCTGTCAATAATTGTTTTCCGTGCTCCCCTCTCCCAATATTCGCGGCGGGTTTTGCGCTTCCTCCTCTGCGCTCGGTGCATCTGGAAAGTTCTGCTTGTGGTGCCAGGGCCTGTCCCGGGCACCGTCCCTCTTTCAGGTTCCAAAAGCTGCATGGAGCACATCAGGCCCTGCTTTCCTTCCGATGGAACGATGGCAGTTCACATTCCTTCAATTTGCTGATCGGAAATGGTCGCTCCCTACAGGCAGTGGATGATAAAAAGATCTGGCATTGATAAGCACAAGCCCCTGCCAGGTTCAGGCCCTCACAGGTGACGACAGCACCGGAGAGAGGTGAGAATATCCACCACGAGCTGAGCCAAGCCCTGAACCAGCAAATCTGGGAAATGTGGGGTCATTCCAATGAAGAAGGGAGGGCGGGGAGAACGGGGCTGGCTCTGGGGGCCGTGGAGCTGCGGTGCCACGAGGGGCACCAGGAGATGCTCGGGGCTGCTTGGCTTGGGTGTTGTGCCAGAGACCTCCTTCCTCACCTCCTACATCTGCTTGAGAAAGATTAGCACGTGCCATTTTAAAGTGTGATTCAAATGGGATTTTGCATCCCTTTTTCAGTGTGTGGTCAGTTCTCACACAGAATAGGGAAAAAAACGTTTAAATACTTGCTGTAACAAGGAACCCAGTTATTTCCCAGGATTCTTTATCCCGAGGCATAATGGCCCACATTTCCCAGCCCTCAGTGACCCTCGGGTTTGTCCTGTCTCCAAACAGCCTGTGGCTGGGAAATGGGGTCACTATTTCGGTTGTTTGACTGGGGAGACAGAGATGTAAATGGGGAAATCTTTTAGCTTTAAAGCAGATGACCAGATGGGAATGAACACGCTTCAGCCTCTCTAGTCTGGACTGGGATGTGTCCCAAATGGAATTAAAACCCCAAAGTATCCCAAGAGCGATATAAACACCTAGCTAAGGTACGAACCGCGTCGTGACCTTCTTCTTCTTCTTGTTATTCTTTAAAAAACGTAAAATTCAGGAAATAGGAAAATACCCGAGCGGTGGAACTCTGGACCCACGCGGAGGAACCGGCTCGTGAGGATGCACTGGGATTCCCAGTGCCTTTATCCACGGCAACACCGAGCTACCGAGAGCAACAGAGACAAAAGAAGCAAAACCTTTCAAAATCTAGTCCTAACGGGGAAGGAACAATAAAACGGAGGGATTTTTAGTGGAATGCTAAAACATGAAGAGCTCTTAAAACATACTGAGTGGCTTCTCTAGAAATGCAAAATATCTCCACTTCGCTGCTGCACAAAATCGCACCCACGGAACGCGATTAAAAAGCTTCTGCGCCGCTAAATAAGCTGAGACCCCCCAAGGGCGGGGGCTGAAAAGCATCTTTACACCACGGAAAAGGTTTTTAGGGCGGGTTTGTTTCCTTTTCCTTTTTAGACTTCTATCTGGAGAACGTTTAATTCTGGGTTTGGGCACTTTTTTAGACAATCATTTGGCACTTGGAGCTGTAGGTTCTTAGGCACAGTGCGACAGGGTGAGCTTGGCCAGTCCTTCGCCGTGCATCCTGTAGAGCAGCTGGAACTCCGCGGGCAGCTGGTGGGACTCCTGCCACTTGGTGGTGAACTTGGTCCCCTTCTTGTCGTAGTAGTGGTACGGGAGGTCCTCCCGCGTGTTGGGGTCGAAGCCGAAGGGCCAGAAGCCGTACAGGTGGATCTCCTCGCAGATGGCAGAGGCCAGGGTGTACATGAGGATCCCCGTGCTCAGCCGCTTGGGGGACAGGTGCTTGTTCCGCCAGTACCTGGGGAAAGGAAGGTGTGTCACAATCAACCTGTCCAGAAATAACCAAAGCATGTGCTGAAGCAACAACAAAGCTGCCAGCGCTCTCAAAACGAGCAGTGTCAGACTGTGCCTGCCACGTCAGGGAAAAAGAAACACGGGAACAATCGTACAAGTTGTATTTTGTCGTGTCAAACGCGAGGCAAACCCACCCACCTGTTAACGTGCTGCATTATATTCCCTGGCCAAGCCAGCTGGACCTTCAGCTGCCCTCTGTGCTCAACGAAGAAGTCGACCAGCGTTCTCGTGACCGTCGCCGACGTGTGGAAGAAGAAAGCGGGGATCCAAAGGATAGCCCCGTCGAGCTTCTTCAAGCTCAAGAAGAAGTTGTTGCGATCCTGAATGGTCAGCAGGTTGTTGTAATACTTCTCCAGGATGCTGGGGTTGAAGGTGGTGAGGTTGGTTTTCCTCCCCACGTCTTTTTGGAAAGCCTCGGTCGGAGCGAAGTTGCACCGAAAGACGAAATCCGATTTGTCGATCTCCTGCCCGCACTGGCTCCCGGTCAGGATCCCGCTGTTCCCCACCACGGCACAGATGTTGTAGTGCTTGTTCAGGATGGGGGACACGTCGGGAAGCAGAGACCTGAAGTTATTGCTGATGGAGAAGACGTACTTATGGCTGGAGTAGTCGTAGTGCATCAGCTGCCCGATGCGAACGCTGCTCTTGGTCAGGGAGAAGTTCTTGATGACGTCGACGTGCTGAAGGATCTCCTGCCTAAGGGAAAAGAGCAGAAAACACGGACTTATAGTCCCTTCTTTTTGCCGTGGCAATGGCTTTTAAATTAATATAAATAGCTGGGAACTGGGGAGCTGGCTCCCCACCTCGGGCTCCGCTTCTGACTGGCACCAACTAAGGCTGTGTCTGTGCCTCTTGGAATTGTGTTGGGATTAAAACATTGGACTGTCTGTGTAGGTCGAGGGTACAGCTCGTGGTGCACCCTGCCGCGGTCCCCCTGGTGTGGGGAGTGTGTGACATTGTCCTGTTTGTGCTGTGACACGGTGGGCAGGTTTCTGCTGGGGCTCCGTGGGTACCTCGAGGTGTGTGCGAAGCAAACCCCGGATATCCAGCTGAATTAACAGGACCCCGTTTATAAATATCTCAGTCTTTATGTTCTCATTAACAAGCTTTGAATCACAAAACCCAGCGACAGCCTCTGTCTCCATCTATGCAAATACAGTTCCTTAATGTCTCATCCCCCGGCAGCTTTACCAGGGTTATTAGGGAGACTTACAAAGCAAACAAAACCAACCCTGCTCGGGAATTTCCCTCGCAGGGCATAAAATTAGAAACCCAATACCACTTTATTTGCTCGTGTTTATGGAAAACAAACAACCTTTCCTCCAGCTCTCATCCTCCAATGTCTGAGCATTAATGGAGTCCCACTGGGTGCCCTAATTATGGGCTCTGGCTGCCGGACAAGTGCAAAGGCAGCTCCCGAGGCATCAGCTAAAATCATCGGGGGGGTGGCACAGGGACAGGCTTGTGGAGCTGGTGGTGCCAGGAATGGAGCAACACCGAAGGGTGGCCACTGTCACAGAGTCTGGGATGTCCCAGGGAAAAGATGGCACGGGCAGAGCGTGCTCCTTGGCTCCCGAGGGCAGCGGGCAGCATATGGTGGCACTGGAAGGGAATGATTTGTCCTGCTGTGCTTGGAGAGTTGCCTGGAGGGAGGAGAGGAGCCCAAACCCTGCCCCGAGGGGTGCAGCAGCCCCGTCCTGCCTGGCTGCAGAGCTGAGGGGCCTGGATTCCAGCTCCTGGGGTGGGATATGTGAACTGTGAGTTGCGAGGCGGCCCCCGAAGCAGCGGGCATTTGCCAGGACAAAATTACAGCCCAGGATGGCAGTAGCTATCTGAAATGGCTAAATGGCTCTATTTTCATTTCCAGAAAAGTTTAATCTCTGTAATCAGCAAATAGATAAAGCGTACAGAGCCGTGTGCCCGCCCCCGCAGCCGGAGCGGAGCCGGAGGCAGGAGCAGCGCTGCACTTGCTCAGAGCTGCCGGCAGCTGGGAACTTTCCCTGGGCGTGTTTTGGCCTCCATGAACGTGGCACTTCATGGCTGTTCCAGCCCTGTGTGGTTCCCAGTTTGAACCCCCGGCCGTTTCTCCCGGAGGAATGACACTTTAAATCGCGCACCAGGAAACTGGGTCACGTCCTGGCACAATAACGCCTGTGCTGCAGCCTGGTGTGCTGCTCTGCAATCATCGAGTCTGCCAGGGTGGCTGCAACCGTCTGGGGAAACGCTCTGATTCAGCCTTTGTCTCTCGCCGCCGGCAAATCCCTGGGAGCTCAGAGTTTTCAGCGGTCCCTGAGCGCATTCCCTGAAATCCCGGGGGGCAGGGGACAGCCCGGGCCGTGCCCGGGGGCTCGCTCACCTCTGCTGGGCGAAGGCGCTCCGGTTGAAGGCCCACCTGGAGGGCTTCTCCTGCAGCTCCTGGCTCAGGGAGTTGGTGATGGGCACGAACGAGGGGTCCAGGAACTTCAGCGCGAACTGGGACCTGGGGAAGGGCGCACGGGCACCGACCCGCCCACGGCACGCGGAGACACCCCCGCGGGCCCAGGCAGGGACACCCCCGCCACACACGAACACACCCCCGGGCACACGGACACACGGACACACGGACACACGGACCCGCCGCCGGTACCGGCCGTGCCCGACCCGCCCCCGCCGCCGCCGCCATCAGCACCGCGGACAGCGCCCGGCGCTCCCCGCCCGCGTGTGGCCGCACCGGGCCGGACGGGGCCCTGCCGGGCCCTGCCGGGCTGTACCGGGCTCTACCGACCCGTTCCCACTCGAATCGCGCCGTTCCGCGCCCCCACCCCGCGGGGCCGGAGCCCTCCCGCCCCTCAGCATCCCGGCGCTGCGGTTCCCACGCTCAGCGCTCCATCCCCGCCGTCCCTCCCGCTCCCCGCGCCGGGCAGGGCGCGGCCGGAGCCGCATCCCCGCTGCGGTGGGACCGGTGGTGCCACCATCCCGGCCCCCCTGCCCGGCCCATCCGGGCATCCCGAGCATGCCGAGCATCCCGGGCCGCGCTCACCTGAATCCCGCGTGGAACATGTACATGCGGGGCCCGGCGGGGCCGGCGGCGCGGGGCGCCCCGAAGATGTTGTCCTTCTTGAGCGAGACGTAGCTGATGAGGGAGAGGATGAGCAGCGCGACGCTGAGCATGACGAGCCCCAGCACGCTGGCCACCCGCACCATCTTGCAGCTCCGCATGCCGGAGGCGGCCCCGCGGCTGGGCGGGTGCGGGGCGGCCGCGGCGCTACATGGGGGCGGCGGCGGGGCCGGGGCCGGGCCGGCACCGCCGCGCTCCGAGGGAAAATGGAGGGATGGAGCGCTGAAATGGCAGCCGGGAGAGGCAGCCCCGGCCCCGGCGGCGTCGCCGAGCCTCCCCCCGCCCGCCCCCGGCCCCGGCACGGCCCCCCCCGCAGCCGCGGAGAACGCACGGCCAGCCCCGGGGGGTGCCCACCCTGACACCCCCAGTGTGCCCCCAGCAAGCCTGGGGTGCCCAGGGCACCCTTCCTGCTACCTTGGGGCGCTCTGCAGCGATCCCCCAAGAGCCTGGGGTGGCTGGGGGGGGCTCAGACTGGCAGCCCGAGTGCTGCAGGGATCCCCCAGAGCCTCTGGATGTGGGTAGGGCTCAGCCATGGGGAGCCTGGGCTGCTGGGGACACTGTGACTGTGGCCGGGTGGGTGCTCGATGTCCCCAGCCCCCTGTGACACATTTCCCTGTGACACCACGATCACAGATGGCACATATGGGGCTGCAGGACCCCGTGCTGGGCAGTGCAGAACCAGTGCTGGCTCGGCAGACCCCCGTTCTTTAAAAGCCCGGTGTCTGGGGCAAGGTTCATCAAACCGGCCCCTAAATCACACAGCAAATTCCACGTGAACTCCAAGAGAGCCTGACTTCTGAGCCGAGGACTGTCCCTCATGAACACGACTTCTGCTTGCTGCACTGCTCTCGGCGTCCTTTCAAACTCCATTTTTCCCTCACCAAGCTTTGCCCCCCCCCCCCCCAGCCCGCTCTGCCTCCCAGCCCCGAGTTCACTGAAGTGCCTTATAAATAATAAATCTTGTCTTTGTAGCCCCGTCCTTGCTCTGGGCTATATCCTACACGCTCTCCATGCAGCAGGCTCCCTTTGAAGAGCAGGAGCACGAGCGGCTTGCAGGGCTGGGGTTTGTGTCACAGCGGTGCTTCTCCAGCCTGCGGTGGGAGTTCGACCCGAGCATGGCCCGAGGTCTATATCCCGCTCCTGTGGGATGCCTGTAGCCTTGGTGGAGAGAGAGGAAAGGCTGGGAATGGAGGATACAGCAGCTGTCTGAGACAGGTTTTTGTGTGCCTGTTGTCCACCCAGTGCGCGCTGTCCCCAGCCTCAGCATGGATGGTGTTGTCCTAGTGAAGTCCCAGGATAAACCAGCTGCAGTTTTTGGCTTTAGATATTTTGGAATTCAGTTCTATAACCTTTAACGTCGTCTCCCGTAGTTTCTGACTGTGTGTCCTGGGGCTGGGAATAAACCCTGGAGTGAGGCTGTGCAGCCCTGGTGTCACACACCTCTCCTGGCACTGGGAGAGCTTCCAGCTGCTGGGCTGGGAAAGACCACTCAGTCCCACTCCCCTGCCACGGGCAGGGACACCTTCCAGCAGCCCAGGTTGCTTTAAGCCCTGTCCAAGCTGTCCAAGGGGAGGAGCAGCACTGTTCCCGGGCACAGCTCAGCCGGAGCACCCGGAGCTGCAGGAAGGAGGTCGCTGCCACTCCGGCCCCAGCTTTGGGCCCCTTTCTCCCCTTATCCCGCCCATGCAAATGAGGTCTGGGAGCACCTCGGAAAGGTGTTTTGGTAAGAAATGTTCCAACCCTGCCTCCCTCCCGAGCCCCAGCCCCCCGGCCCCTCAGCCAACAAGTTGCGGTGGAAACAAAGGCAGTTCTCGCTTCAGATTCCTCCCAGATAGCAATATGTCAGGAGCCCCTGGAGAGGCTGAAAGTAAATGAATCAGTGCTAGAAAGTGAAGGATCTCATCCGTGCTGAATGGTGAGAAGGAGTCCTGAGCAGCATCTCCATTGATTTTCCCGTAATTGACACCCAGCTCGGCTCTGCGCGGGAGCGCCAGGCCCTGGTACGGCCCTGCCCGGGGCTGCCTCACCTCAGTGAGGGGCTGTGGGGAGCACCAGGCCCAGGTATGGCCCTGCCTCACCTCAGTGAGGGGCTGTGGGGAGCACCAGGCCCAGGCAGGGCCCTGCCCGGGGCTGCCTCACCTCAGTGAGGGGCTGTAGGCAGCTCGGGAGGAGCTGCTGGGCTGGGCACCCTGTTTTGTTGAGGAGAGGCACGGCCACACCACAGAAAAGAAACCAGGAGCGTTGATCTGCTTTCAAGCCCGAGGAAGGAATCACCCGTGCACTTAGGAAAGGTTCCCTCTTTTCGACTTAGGGAAATGGGACGGGAGAGTTGTGCTTTGAAAGGTTTGCCCCTGCTGAAATCCACCTTTTCCAGGCTCTCTCTGCCGTGTCCCTCCCTCCTTTGAAGCTGCTCTTTGGGGTCTCCAAGTGTGAGGGGGCCTCGATCTGCCCGATTGCGCTCCGAGTGGTTTTCAAGTCCCTTTAGAACCAGGTGCTTGTCAGCCTGCTGGGGTGTGGAGATCCCCGAATTTATTCCCGGGAGCAGCAGAGGTTGCTGGTCTGCAGCGGCTGCAAACACATTCCTGGGGGAAGGCGGGTGAGGAGGGAGCACCTGCAGCTCTGGGAACGCTGCTGGGCCAAAGGACCCCCTGCACCCCAACCCTTACAGCCACAGGAGCCGGGAGGGATCCGGGAGGGATCCGGGAGGGCCCCCGACCGTGTGAGCCCCGGCCCCGCGGTTTCCCTGAGTCACTCCCGCCCGGAGCCCCGAGGTTCCTGCTGATGCAGCGCCGGGGTCTCTAAATGCTTTGTTGAACGCCTGCCCGCTGTGCCTAAGTGCTTTCAGCCCGGGTGGCTGCTGAATCGGGTTTCCTGGGACAATTATTTGGAACATAAGTACCCAAAGTCTGCTCGAGCCCTTTTCTAAGTGCTTACGTTATTTTGTTTTAAAATCCCTGGCACCGCGTCCTCAGACCGGTCCCAGAGATGTACTTATTTTAATTATATTTGGGAAAACGCTTGCTGGCCACGACGGGATGTAAAACGTGCCGTGTTTTCTCTCGGCCCCGGAGCCCTCACTCTTCTGGCAGCTCCAGGAGCCGGCTGAGTCCCGCCAGGAATGTACGGGAATTAAACCCCAAGCGGGAAACAACGGGAATAACCCTGGAGTGTCCACGGGGAGGGACCGGTGTGCGTGTGTTGTTGCCTCCTCCACTCGCAGTGCAGGGCCAGGGTTAGTTAAGCTGGGCTTGGCAAGGCCGGCAAGGCCAGAGGTTCCTGGGGACTCAAAGAACAGGGAGAGGACCGCCCCTGGAATGGGGAGGTCGCCGGATCCCTCGGGATGTGTCCGCCCGCCCGCGTCAGCCGACCGACCTCAGCAAGGACGGGCGGCCCCCGGGTGGAAAATCCTAATGAAAAGGCTAAAGCTGGGAAGAGTTGGGGGCGATTAGTGGTGTGCATGCAGCTGAGCCTCCCGCAGATTACTCGTCTTTAGGCCTAATCCTCCGCGCGCTGGAAAAAAAAAAAAAAAAAATCCCAAATCTCTTCATTTTTTTTTATGGAGTGATTATCACAGACTCCGGAATGATTGTGTAAAAATTAATCCCGGGGGATGAGGCCGGGTTTGGAGCTGCAGGGTGGTGCTGGCCAGAAGCTGGTAAACAAACCTGTCCCGGAGTGAGGGAATTAAGCTCGGGCTCCCCTGCGCTGAGGGGCCTTATCCAATCGCTCCAGCCTGGGGCAGGAGCAGCGGGTCATGGGCTGCCTGGGGATACCCCATAGCCACAGACCCCACAAAAGGCTTTCCAGGGCTTCCCTGGAGCTTTAAAGGCAAGAGTGGGACCATGCCATCAGTGGGGACAGTGCCAGCCCCCCCGGCTCATCCCTCCTCAGGGCTCCGGCTCAAAAAGGTGCTTAAGCCCCGCATTAGGAGCGCGCCGTCCCCGCTGCCAAGCGTGATGGATCTGTAACTATTCTGAAGCCATCCATGAATATTGCATGTGGATCCACTTATCGGAGCCTCCCCGGCACGGCAGCCCGGGCCCACTTTAATGGGCGGCTGTCAGGAAACGCCAGCCAGGCAGGAAGAGTTGGGATCAGCCCTTTCGGTGCCAGCACGGGGGCTCCTGGGTGGTTTCAGTCCTCTTCCTCCCCTCAGCGTTTGACCCCTGCAAGCAAACGGCCCCCGAGTTCCTGCTGGCAGGAACATGGGGACAGGGACCACAGGAGCCACAGGGAGGAGAAGTGACTCAGAGCAAACTTCTGCAGCGTCTCCAATCCCCAAAAGCAGAGCCAGGACGCCCAGGACCTGCTGGTGTGGTGGCAGAGCACTGCTGGTGCCCACAGGGGCTCCAGGCAGCCAGGGGGGACCAGCAAGGTCTGCACTGCCCGTGGAAAAGCCTTGCCGTGATTCACTCAGGAGCTGGAGGTTAAGCCCGGGTTAATTTTCTGCATTAATCAGGAGGAGAGGGAACATTTTCTCCGTGTCCCTCTCCCGTTTACACGGCGCGGCTCCGGTGATTTCATTAGGATCCGCCAGGCAGGGGAAGGGGGCGGAACTCGGCCCCTTAATTAAGACGACCGTCGCTAAAGGCAGAAGGACGGAAAATAATTAACCCCCCGTAAAAACCACGCGCTGCTGAGAAGGAGCGATGCATAATTTAGGAACGGGGAGGCCACGATGAGATGTTGGTTGCAGACAGCATGTCTGAGCAGCACGACGGGTCCTGGATGTTCAGCAAAGAGCCCAAAAGTTGCACCTCTGGGATAAATGGATGCATGTGGGGGAGCGAGGGGCTGTCCAGGAGACTGTGAGAGACTCCCAGGGAAAATACACCGCTGCTGCTGGTGGAGGCTCCACCAATTTCATTAATTAAAGTTCTAATTGTGCTTTGACCTCCCAGGAGGACCCTTGCCCTCCTTGGCCAAGGCAATTGGATTATTCCTCCCCGGCCCTGATTGTCAGAGCCTCCTTTGCTGCTAAAATGTTCTATTTCCCAAGCAAACGGCTTCAAAAGGCCAAACGTGGAACTTCCAACAGCAATAATAAACAACACCCGTTTATTGAAACAGACCCGAGAAACAGCAATTCCATGGGCACTTTCTGGGGAAGGCTGGATTCAAGGAGAGGCCCTCTGGTCCCTGATGGTGCTCTGGGGGTTGGATACTGGATTGGGAAGCTCCTTTT